ACATTCCCAGAAGCCTGGGTGTTCAAGTAAGTGTGTGTGTGTGTGTGTCTGTGTGTGTTTGTGTGTGTGTGTGCATGCGTGTGCGTGCGCGTGCGTGTGCGTTGCATTTCGGCATCCTAAAGTTGCACGCGGGCACACCCTCAGAAACTCTGTACTGACGAGCACGAGAGGGCTTCGAGGAGTCAAGTTCTGAGCTCGATTCCTAGTCCATCCCCCAGGCTTATGAGGTGAAGGGCGCTGCCGGTACCTCCGGCCTTTCCAACTTCTACTCGGAAGGTATGCTGGAAGTCGATACCGCCAAACTTCTGTTTGTTGCGATGCTGACAGCATCTGTCCTGCTAGGACCCGTGCTGTCGACCTCCGAGCGTTTACCAAGACCTGAAAAACACGTCGCACAATTGCTTCAGGTGCCCAGATATGGCGCAAACATTCGATGCCTAGGGCTCCGCCGCCGTACCAGAAGCTGCCACCTGCTGGCGACCAATCTTTCTGCTGCAGGTCATTGTATCGGTTTGCGCTACCGAACACTTAGGTTGGACTCACATTTCCGTCTTGCTAGTTGCCATCGAACATCGACCACAAGACTGTTAGGAGTCACATGGGTCAAGCTATCAAGCCGCCAGCCATGCAATGCAAGCACATGGCTCGCCCAAAAAGTGTGTGCTCAAGAGCTGGGCCGACCGTATCCCCAGGTCCAGAGCACGCCGCCTTGAAAGCCGTCGGGATTGGTAGACATGAAGCACATCGCGCATTCCTGAATCCAGCCTTCCTTATCTTGACATGGTCTGTTCTGGCCAATCGTGCTCCGACTTCGATGTTTCTGCAGTCAGACACGATTCAAGACTCAGACCTTCCGTGATGACAGCGGAGTGGTTGCCTTAGCTAGATCCAGCTGAGCTGTTCTTGTAATGAATTTTGCAACATCGACATGCAAGGCATTTCAACGAGCTTCCAAGCTCTTGACCTCCCAAAGAGATGGACTGTGGAAAGGGCTGGTGACCATCCGGGGCCTGAGTTAAAGACACTATTGCGAGCCCTACATGGCAATCAAAGCTGCTAATGATTTCCCTCTCATTGCTTCACTCTGCATGGCATACATAGACGGCCCGGCGCAGCTCGCCATGTGTCGATCCATATGCACATTCACAAATGCAAACATGCATGTGCCCATGCATGCATACAAACAAACAGATACACCCAAACATAAAGACAAAGAGCAGGCAAACAATCTTACAAACACATTCAAGCATACACACATACAGACATGCATACATTACATTACTTTACATTACATTACATTACATTACATTACATTACATTACATTGCATTACATGACTAGACATGACATGACATGACATGACATGACATGACATGACATGACATGACATGACATGACATGACATGACATGACATGACATGACATGACATGACATGACATGACATGACATACATCCTTGTAGACATCCTTGCATACCTACCTGCCTACCTACCTTACTTACCTGAGCAATCAAACAATCATTCATCCATTCACACATTGAATTGCCACTCCACACTAACTCATTCATGCACTCACTCACTGACTCACTCGCGCATTCAGTATTCATTCATTCTGTCTTTCTTTCATTC